TGGACCAGTGACCTCCTCAGTCTTCTCCTTCAGAAACCGACCAGGTCTACTTCAACAATTGCAAGTTCGGAATGCACGGGCCATTGGAGGACGACCGCCTGAAGGGGGTGCGTGGCTTCGTTTTCTTCGACCGCCCTTGTCCGTCTGTCTGGTCCGGGAGGAGTCCGGAACCGAACGCGTGACGCCAAGGAGGAGGAGGTCTTATTGTTTTTTTTTTTTAAGGATCTCCAAGTAGGGAGCTGAAGCTCCTGGTTCATCCGGGTCTCCTCTGTTGGTGTTTTGGTTTTCTGAGCATGTTGTTGACGTTGTCTCTTTTGGGGGGGCGAACAGCTGGTTGATCGATGAGGAAACGAGGAAGGGCTTGAGGATGTTCATGTCAGCCTGTAGGGTCGGAAGAGTAACTTCCCAACGTCGATGAGGATGGATCACCCCAAAGTTGTACCATGACATACCTGGATCTTCCAACTATGCAACAGGTGTGCCTTTTCGGAGAAACAATGGGCCGCATGAAGGCAGACATTCTGCCTCTAGTTGAAAGATGTCCATTTCGCATCATTTGACCATGAGCTCGTGGATGTTCGTCCCGGTATTTCCGCGGCCCATCAAAGCCCCGGTATGCCATGCCAGCGTGCCTTTTTCCGGGCCAGAGGCAGGTCTCCTCCGGCAGGTTGAACGTCTCGCACCAAACCTGGACCTTCCCCTAGCAGCACCCGACTTCACAGGTCACCACCGTCGACTTGAAAAAAGTCTCCAGCCAAGCCCACCATTGACTCGGAGACCTGTGGAGTTGGTCGAAGGTTGCTGGTACAGGTCGGTTGGACCTCATTTTTACGGGTCAGTTGGTCATACAAAAAAGACGGAGCTGCGGAGTGCCGGAGGTGTTTAGGACTAGGTTCTCCATGGGGGACGGACCGGGTCCGGGGCCTCAAAACCCTATCCCAGGACCTTCCAACAGGTCACCACCGTCGCGACTTTTAAGTCTCCAAAAGCCACCATTTCGGAGACCTGTTGGAGGGTGCTGGTCTATTTGATTCTATTTGAGGGCCCGGATTCTTAGGGTAACCTAAATTAACAGTTGATTCCAAGGACGATGCCTTAGATTTTGTGTATATAGAGATTCCAATGTGTGATGGTCAATGTCGCTTCGATCGGGGGCGATAAACAATGCTTGACACCCACCGAGAAGGGAATTCTACTGTAAAAACTTTAAACAGTGGCAGGGTATCTCACGAAAAATGATGGATGAAGTCGGATGCGCTTCGCAAAGTAGTCAGGATCCGGACCCTGGCCTGGACCTGTTGCTTTGGGCCCAGGACCTCCAAAAAGGGGTAGGGTAGATGCGTAAACGACTTGCAGATGCTGATGCTTCTGCCCCAAGTCGTTTTTGCCCCAAGACGTGTTCTGCCTGTGCCAGCCACACGCCCTTGTCAATTCGAACGCCGACCGAAATCGGGCCAGGTCTTCTCACAGAACGCAGTCCTTGCATTGCAAAGTCACTTCAAAGACTGCTTCTTGGTCTAAGTCCGGTGCAGCTTCTGCAGTCCGCCGGTTAGCGATCGGAGGTGCCGGTGAGCCGGAGGAGTGCAGGTGAGACCTGTCACATCACATCCACGGTTCCGGGGACGACCCAAAAACCCACCCCACTCCATGTGACTGGTGGAAAAAACCATCTTCTTTTTGCGTTACGAAACGCGGAATGGCCTCCAACCCATGAAAAACGATGGGCTCCAACCTAGAAGTGTTCTTTATATCTCCCAGCCCCACAGTTGCTCATCTCGTTCGCTCGCAAGAGGGTCCAGTGCTCTCGTGTATCTCCTCCCCCCCTCTTCGAAGGTCGGGTTTTGGCTCGTGGAACCCAAGGCACAACTCCACCGACAATGTGTCTTTTTTCCTACCAACTCATGGTGAATTCGACCACCAAACATCACCAAATCGCGGACATGTGCGGAAATACATGCATGTCAGGAACTAGCAGTTATAGGTATACCTGTTAGTTCATTCAGCAAACCAGCAAACCACTTTATAAAGGCCACTTGGCCTTTTGAACTGCTCAACAAATGGTCCCAAATCCTTGAAGCAGCACCCCAACCGCCGCTCCAGGCTACCACTACTTCATTGGGCTCTGCAGTGGTGATTGTGAGGTCGCCCAGGGACTTCTCGTTCTCCGCCACCAGACAGGACCGACGCCGACCCTTCAGCGGAGACCAAACCCGCGCGGCGACTTCAGGTTGGAAGCCAGACACGGCCAGGGGTGTCCCGTTTGCTGCGCATGTTGAGCCTCATCCGAAGAAGATCCATCCAAACCTCGTCCCGAACGGAACCAGCAGCTCGCTACGAACGGAGCTGGCATCGCGACTCGAAGGGAACGATCGGACCGCGGCAACGAATTCGGAATTCAGACGCCGAGGCAATTGGGGCGAAGATCTTTGGGTCGACCAATGCTTGAAACGCCGTGCCAACGTGGCTGGGCCAGGGCATGTGGCAGGGCATGTGGCAGGGCACGTGAGGTTTCTTTTTGGCTCAAGCTGGTGGAATGTGGAGTCAACCCTTCCAGCATGACCCGGTACAAGAAGTCATGACTGTGGGGTGGTGCAGTGGTTCCAAAGTGCTACTTATACCAGACCCTGGATCGTCCATGATCCCATAATGTTTTTCGGCCCCTTTTGCCAACCTCAAAAGGCAGGACAGAAGCCAAACCTGCCGACGACCAGACGAACATTACGACGCTGACGTACCAGATACGACCCGCCGCGGTGATGAGAAGGGGGCAGGTCGTGGCATTCCCGAGAAGGGGGCAGGTCGTTTGTTTGTCCTCCAAAAAGAACCTTTGGCCACCAAAGACCGACATCCCGCCTGCACTCCGCCTACACTCGACCGTCTGCTCGACCGTCGCGGCGGATGGGTGGTCGATCGGTACGGGCCTGAGGGTTGGGTCGATGAAGAGAGGGGATACGAATTCTGGTCAAACAAAAAGGGTACCTGCCTGGAACCCCAGTCTCAACCAGAAACCCAATGAAACAAGTCCAGTCTGATTGTCGAATATGGCGCCAGCTTGGAATCCTTCAACATCGGAGTTCTGCTTGGGACTGGGGAGTTCCAACTAAGCTATGCATCTTCTCCGATCCGACCGTGGATCGAGGCAACCATCACTCGAGTGAACAAGTACGACTTGCTGGAAGAGGATCATTGCGATCCAGAGGACTCGCCCAAACTAACGTCCGGTGTACCGGAGGGTGGGATGTCCCGCTCACTTGGCTGAAGTCCGGTCGGAGGGGTGGCGAGGGGCAGGGGTGGCGCCGGTAAGCAGAAGCAGGACGCGACTAGACATTGGACAGTTTTAAGTCCAAGGATCAAGAAGGCAAGAAGGCAGACATGTTATCATAGTTTGAAGAATTATGGCCCAGACACTCCATGGGACTGCCATATATGCCTACATTGATCCCTCAAACCACCCCAACTGATCGGCATATACGGCAGTCCCATGGGTCGTGTCTGGGATATTTTCGTTTTTCCGCTGACTCGTGAGTCTAGACCGCCCAGGCTCCAGCCCTCCAGGTCTGAGGCTTTTGGAGACTTTGGCTGGTGGGGACCTCTGAAGTCGGGTGCTGGTAGAGGAGACCGATCATCCCCTTCTCATAATCAGAGGCTTTGCGTAGGACACAAAACCCAGACACTCCATGGGACTGCCATATATAATAATATATATATATATGGATTGGCTACATTGACCCCCCTGGCACCACCGCAATGTAGGTATACATGGAATGTCTGGGTGCATGCGTCAAATCAACGTGTGTTTCTCCGCTCTGAAGCCGCACACCAACCCTCTCTACCCCGATGCTTCTCATCGATCGCTGTGGAACTCGCTCCAGGATGGATGGGAGAGCTGCGACAACCCCAAGAAGGTGCCCAAAAAAGTGAGATGAAGACGAAGCAGATACACACCTGGACCTTCTTTCGGGGTGTCCTGTTTGGAGGTCAGTGGTGGGCTGGGGCGAAACCAGCCAGGGCACCCCTTGTTGGAAGGTCCTGGCACACACGTCCATGGGCGCGGGATCGGACCTGGACCTCCACCGAGAACGCTTTGGGAGTGACACCCAGCACACCCAGCACGTGTACAGAGGGCTTTCAGAGTCTCGATGGAAAGGGGGAGAGTCAATCCCAGCCCAGACGCGACCCTGGACCCGAATTCTCTGGAGGGGTCGGACCCGAATCCTCTCGAGGGATCAGGGGTCGTAGAAGCAATCCCGGTTTTGAGGGACCAGTCGAGTGTCCTTCACTTAGCGACTGGGAGGAGTCAATCCACTCACGCATCAGGGACACATCCACGGAAGGTCCAGGGGTCAATCCACGGAGCTATGCCACGATTCGTGTCGGGGTCCCCCTGTCACATCCACTCACGTGAGGACCAAGGGGACACCAAGGGGACCTGGGGGGCTCCCACCCCAACTCCATGTGACTCCTGGAAGGTCCATACCCAGACGCTCCAAACAGCCCGACTGGTCCCTCAAAACCTAGGGATTGGTTCGACCCCTGACCCCTCCAGAGGATTCGGGTCCGACCCCTTCGCGTCTGGGATCCGATGAATTTCTTCCAGTCGTCGCCGACGTCGCGTTGTTGGGTTGGATCGGATCTCGGATCGGCTCGTACGGAATCGGTGGAATCGGTCGACCGAAGGAGAGGTCTGAAGGAAGGGAACTTTCGAAGGGAACGCGGCGAAGACATGCGGCAAAAAGAGCTCCAAGCTCCAAGTACGGATAGCCCAAACCCACCCCAAACACCGTCTCAGGATGTATGACTGGAGCCCCGTCGGCATCCCACACCCCAACTGGAGCCCCGTCGGCATGTGACGTCGAATCTGGTCGGTCAGATCCAGTCTGTGCTGGTCGGCTCATGCGTTTTGCCGAAAGGACAGCCCCATTGGGCAGTGGGTTAACACCGGAAATACCTGGTTTGGCTACACCCCAAATGAACAGACGATCCCATGGACCCTGATAGACTTTAATGGTGGGTAGAGGAAAACCATCGGACCCAGGGGGCCAGGACCTCAGGGTCTATGTGAGTTTTTGTTCGGGTTGACTACCAATGAACAGACCACCTGCAACGCCTCCGCCTGAGGACCAACACCAGTCGGCGTCCCATAGAGTATTGTTGGGGTCTTCCATGGGTGACCCATTCAATGTGTCGATGGCTGGAAGAAAACGTGTAAGCCATCCAGCACCACGGATTTCGGGTGTCCATGAATAGCCCCTTAGAGGTCAAGGGGTGTCCATTAACCACTCCTTGGGGGTTCAGGATGACAATGACATTTGGTGTTTTCAACTGATCCCTTAGTTTCTTTTTTCAATAGCTTTGGTCTGTGAATCCAATGCTTCTCTTGGTCTTCTCCGTGCGATGCTCCTTCTCACGCAGGTCGCCTTCCACCCATTCAAGTCGAAGGAAGAGTGGCTGAGCTGCCTCAATCATGCTGGTGGTTGAGGCAGCGGACGTGACGTTCGGCGTTCAGAAACGGTGTCGCCGGGTGACGCCGGTGTCTCTGCTTCCTGGCCCAACAGTCATTTAAGAGGCTGAATACCGAAGAAGCCATGTTCTACTACAGACACCAAGTAAACCTTTCTTTCAAGACCCCATGTTCAAAAGGGGGAACGGACTTCCACCGGCCACAGCTGGCTGGCGAGCTCCTTTTTCAGCCTCTTCCCCACAGCCCCACAGTGGACCTCCGTGCATGGCATGGTGCAAAGCTGAAAAACAGTTGGCAGAGACCCACATGGAAGCTGAAAAGCACACCCGGTTTGTA